GCACCTTGCCGTAGAGCGTGGTGGCGCTCGCGTCGCTGCGCTGCTCGTGCATGGGCGCGATGAGCGTCCACTGGTTGGTCTCGGGCTCGTAGCGCTCGGCCGTGTTGAGGCGCACGTAGCCGTCGAAGCCGCCCATGGCGTAGATGAAGTCGCTGAGCACCGTGACGCTCACGTAGCAGCGCCGCGAGTGCATGGGCGCCACCTGGTGCCAGGTCTTGCGCACCGGGTCGAAGCGCTTGACGCTGTTGAAGTAGTCGACGCTGTCGAAGCCGCCGATGATGTAGACGTAGCCCTTGAGGTAGGCGGCGCCGTGGTAGGCGCGCGGGCTCTCCTCCTCGCAGGTCACGTTCACCCAGCGGTCGGCGCGCGCATCGTACGCCTCGATGGCGTTGGTCGGGCTGCCGCCACTCCAGCCGCCGATGGCGAAGAGGATGGCGTAGGGCAGGCGCGGCCGCGTGAGCGGGTTGGTGAAGTCCGAGTTGGACGGCCCGTTCATGTTGAGGTCGTACATGGCCTTGAGCGCGTTGATGATCACCGGCTTGCACTCCTCGCTGTCTCTGACGTAGTCGTTCATCTTCACGTTGTTCATGAAGTACTCGGCGTGCATGAGCGCCAGGCGCACCTGGAGGGCACAGACGGGCCTCTGGGTGAGGTGGGGCTGCGGGACTCCCGGGTGGCCCTGCTCCCCTTCCGCAGGCTGGCTGCGGGTCGCTGTGAACTTTGGGCCTGCTTCGTAAATGTGTAACGCATCAACAGAATAGTTGGTTTACACCAGGCCTGGTAGCGCACCCGTCACCCTGGTACACAGCACTATGGGAGGCTGAGGCAGGAGGATGGCCAGGAGTTCGAGGCCAGTTCGAACATAGCGAAACTCTTGTCTCACAAAATCAAGTCAAATAAATAAACAAGAAAGGGCCAGGGAATGTAGCTCAGTTCAACCCCAACACTGCAGAAAATGTATAGATTGTTTGTAGGAGGCAGCATACACCCAGATACTGAGAATGAGGCACCAGGCAGGGTCACAGAGCCACCCAGTCCACAGGCACAGTTGTCTAGGACTCTTAGACCAACAGCAGCAGGGTAACTGTTCAGAACTGCACATCTGTGTAGAGTAACGTGAACCATCAGCCCGCGGCTAGCACTGTGTGGACACTCACGACTGGGCATCTGGGCCAGCTGGTAGGGTGGGCACACAGATTCTTTGACTGGCCAAAGGGTGAAAAAAAAAACCCTCTCCTCCGGAGACCAGGGAGGACTTTGGCTAAAGGATGTAACTGGGATAGAAGGAACTCGAAATGTCAAGGGAAGAGAAGCTGCAAAGTTCCAGCACAGAGGAGAGGTGGCTCCTTTCTACTCAGCCCCAGGACCATCCTGACCAGAGTGTGTCTCTCGGGGAGAGTCCCACTGGGAGAAACGGACCCAGAGTGAGCAATGACCGCAGTCCTAGTGTTCGGGGAGGCTGAGGCAGGAGGACTGAACATTCGAACCTGGCCTGGGTGACTTAGTGACTCCGTGAGACCATGGCTCCCAACTAAAAGAGCAACTGAGCATTCACAGAGAACAACCAAACTCGACCTTGGGAAGTAAAACCGAGATGTACTGCTTCCGGTTCGGGGGGTCGTGGGAAATCCACTTTAAAATGGCCTCGAACACAGCGTCCTCCTGCTTGACATTGAGCTCGTCCTTTTCTATGATGTCCTTGAGCTCGGTGACGGACAGCTCCAGAAACTCAGCGGAGACCTTCACCATGTCCTCGAAGTTGTGCAGGATGAACATGTAGGCCTTCTGCCGCAGCTCGGGGCAGTAGTAGTAGTCGGTGAACTTGCAGATGCCGATGCAGTTGTCCAGGCACAGCTCAGCCCTGAGGAACTCGCAGCAGCCCCGCACGATGCCCATGATGTTGAGCTGGTCGGCGGCCGCCAGCAGCTTCTCCACGTTGTCGGGGGTGATGGGCACGGTGCGCGTGTAGGCGTACTCTATGATCAGCTTCATCATGTCGGGGGAGACGCCGGGGATGTTGTACACCTTCTTCTCCGTGCTGTTCCAGCCGCTCGTGAACAGAGCTCTGGAAAAGACAGAGAGGCTGGCAGCCGGGAGCCTTTCCTGCCATCACCGCCTCCCCCTCTCCAGGCGACTGGACATTTTCCACCAAGGGCGCAGCAAGCACGCTGGGAAGAAGTTGATCTGTGGAGGACCAGGATCCCAACATTGTAGGAGGCTGAGGCAGGAGGCTCGAAAGATCGAGTCCAGCCTGACCGTAATGTTACGGAGACATTATATCAAAAATGATCCTAAAGGGCCTGGGGTTTGGCTCAGAGGCGCCGCCACTGCCTGCCTCGCAGGCGCCAGGTCCTGAGTTTGATTCCTGGTACCAACAGTAAATAAATAAATAATAATATTAAAAACAGGCTGGGGTGCAGCTCGGCACACAAAGGCGCGGGGTTCAATCCCCAGTAACCAAATGGCCGAGAAGGAGCAGAACCCTCCGTGCTCCTGACTGCCAGTTCCGCTCCCACCGTCCTCCCCTGCCACCCGCCCCCGAGCCGGTTCCCCTCTGTGCTTCCCGCTCCGACCTGGACCCCGGGATCTCCCTCCCCCGGCTCTTCGGCCGCACCTAAAGTAGGAGCTGCAGCTGCAGAGGACGTTCTTGTGGGCGTTGAACTCGAAGCCGTGGGCCTTGATGACCACGTCGCAGAGCTTGCCCTCCAGCCGGAGCTCGTTGAAGATCTCACAGGTCATGGCGCTCATTTTCCTCTCCATGTGAGGCTGGGGGAAGCGCGGGGCTGCCGCAGCGCCCTCCACGTCCATGGCTCCTGGGGACCAGCGGGGAGAGGCTGTGCTCCTGGGCGAGCTGAGGGTCGGGGGCCCCTGAAGGCAGCTGTCGCTCCCTTTCCCTGCTACATCTCTCATGTCCAGCCCAGAACCCTGGGTGCAGTGAGGTCATGGCATATTGTGCGCTCACGCCCACCCGCTGGGGTTCTGGAACCCTGCCTGCCCCGCCCAGCCTGGCTCAGGACTGTGACCGCCAGCAGCAGCGAGCTGCACTTCCGATGCGTCCCACTTCCTGCTGCCCCTCTGGGCTCTCCAGGACCCCACCCTACAGCTTCCTCCCCCGGTCCCCTCTGGGCTCTCCAGGACCCCACCCTACAGCTTCCTCCCCCGGCCCCCCCCCACACTGCAGCCTGCCCAGGCAGAAGGGACAAGGGCTGGCGAGGTGGCCTGTGATCCCAGCACTCAGGAGGCTGAGGCAGGAGGATCCCTGCAAGTTCAAGGCAAGCCTGGGCCACACAGTGTGTTCAAGGCCAGCCTGAATTGTGCAAGTGAGACCCTGTCCCAGACAGAAAGACAGGAGAGGCTGAGTCCGCTGCTGCTCAGCTGCCAGCGGTGCCCAGCACCCTGGATGTGTCCCTCACCTTTTCCATGAAGAGGACCGAGCAGGCCCTATGCCCTTCGGGATGTTTAACAGAGCCCCACCCCACCCCATGCAAACCTAAAGGTCAGAGATGACCCGTTGGAGGAAGGGGTTTGATTTGTTTGTTTTTACAATAACTTCGGTTGAACCCAGGGCCTTTGCACTGCAGCCCTCTTTTTTTTTTTTTGTACCAGGGATTGAACCTGGGTCGTTGCACTTGCAAGGCAGGCAGCAGAACCACTGAGCTAAATCCCCAGCCCTACAGCCCTCTTTTTTTTTATTTTTATTTTTATTTTTGGACAGGGGGTCTCGCTAAGTCCATAATTTGTCCACCCTGGGTTTGTGCTTGAAATCCTCCTGCCTCGTCCTCCCGGAGTGCTGAGGTTACAGGCCTGCACCACCTGGACCCCCACCCACCCCCCGCAGTACTACTCCTTTCTCCCCCCACTGGGATCAACACAGGGCCCAGCATTTCCTGTCAAGCATGTGGCCTGCAGTTACATCGCCAACCTTGGAATGGTCACTTGCCAGGG